TCATTTTCTGTTTAATTTGACCATCATCCTCTTATAAAACACTTGGGTAATGTAAGTATCATACCTAGTGGTAGTTCGAGAAACACAGTACATTAAATGCAAAACTTAATGGACAGTTCATAAAAAAATTTTACTTGAAAATGATAGCGAAACAAATGCATTGTCAACCATATGGGTATTTAGTTATTGTTCTTACCTAGTCGGCAAAGTACTTGTGACACAGACTTGTGATATCTCTGGAGTTGCGTTATCATTTAAGTTTCAATATTAGTTTATTACCTGGTGACCCGTAAGCTTTGTTATTGCTTATCAGTATTGTTCATTATTTTAACCAAAAACAACAATAGGCGCCTTAATGTGTTTTAAATGTGACGTCATCCAAGCAAGTGGGGATAACGTTTAGAAGGCAAGCGAGGTGGACTAGTTGATGCATTCTTGTGTCGAACTCTGAAGAGTGCGGACCATTTATTAGAAACAACAATTCACTACTAGCTAATTCCGTAATAATATTGTGGATACACTGCAATGGAATATTCATCTACATCTTCTGCCTTACGGAATGATTCCGAGTCGCGACGACGAAGACGACGACGACAACGCTGTGACTGTGTAAGTATATTTATTTAAGTATATTGTTATACAAGTATTCTAAAATTATATAATATTTAAGTCAGCCAGTCAGTATTTGTTTAGATTAAGCACTAAGCTATTACAAATAGTTTAATCGTCTGTATTTTCTGTTTGCAGGGATGCGTACACCGAAATGACTACCAACAGCTTGAAGCCACCATAAGCCGACGCCTGGATGGACATCAGCTAGCACTCGCGCAGTTTGGAAGAGGACTCTTGCCATATGAACTGCCGCCATCATATTCTGGATCTGCGCCGTCATTCCATGGCCCACCACCACCATATGATGGACCCCAGCTTCCGTATTATGAACCACCGCCACCATATTATGAATCCGCACCGCCAGTTCTTCGGGAAGCAGAGCCCATTCGGTATGAAGCATCGCGACCATATAAACTAGGATCCAAATTACGCAAAGATATTTTTTATGTAAACGTCATGGTACCGATCACCATGCCAGCAAATTTTTCGATAAGACCGCAACGATAAATAAATTGTACTAAATCATAAACACACTCTTTTATTTTCCCCTATTATTCTGGTAGTTCTCCATTCGCTTTAACATTAGCTCGACACTCGGCTTGTCGAGTCAACGTTTTTTTATTCATTAGTCTCACCTTTCACCACCTCACATGCATGTGCATGATTGCATAAGGTAGGTTTTCTCACAAAGAGTTGTTCCGTGCGGGAATCGAACCCACGACACGTTACAGCCAGTTGCCCAGCTTCCGAATCAACCGTGCAGTCTATACACCTTAAATGCCGTAATCAAAAGCCTTCAACGGATCGCAAAATATTCTAATCGTATCATTTGTTTTTTGTCACGTAGCGAAAATATATCTGATAAAAACATACTGGCGCTAGTTATTAACGTCGCTATCTGAAGCCGTCGCGATCATGTAAGCATAAATTCGTGTTAGTGACAAACATTACAGCAAGCATCAGTTTTTCACAGCAAACAGCTTCAGTGCTCAACCGTTTCAAAAGAACCTGTTTTTTTAATCTTTGCTTTTACATTAGAACATGCCAATAAACCATAAAAAATCACATACACAAAACACCCAGACTCGAAACTACAATTTGTGGATCACATAAAGTGTTGTTCCGTGCGGAAATCAAACAACACTTTTACACTGTGATCCTTTTCCCATCTGCCAAGGGTCATCATCATCATCAGCCTTTAAGTGCCCACTGCTAAGCTAAGACTCCTTCTCACACGGAAAAGGTTTGAGTATTAATCACCACGCTTGCTCAATGGTGGTTGGCGATTTCAAACTTATAATTTATTAGAAATTTAAGTCCAAGTTTCCTCACGATGTTATCCTTCACCGTATGTCAGTGCTGTCTAAATAATCATAGAAATGACATATAACTCGAAAAAGGTCACATTGATACTTGCTAGGTTTCGAACCCACACCCTCATGCAAGAGAAGCGGGCTCCTTAACCTCTAGGCTACCACGATCTCAAGCTTCAAGCCAAGCGTAATAGCAAGTTCCACTTTCGTTAAAGCCGCTCATAATCCAATAGTGATATTATATCTAACGCACTTTTAATGAATTGATGCATTGCAAGAAAACACATGAGTGAAGCTGGTTGCTTTGTTTACCATTGTCAATCACCGCCTAACTTTTAAAACCACGCCACAAATTGTCTTTATTCATGTATAGCATAACCGATCATACATTGTACTTGGACTTGATGAAAATACCTTTACCTGGAATAGCTCAAGGAAAAAGGCGCTGATAGCCGAAATACAGGCTCAGTCTAATTCGGCTACAGATGCTAAACTCTCTATTATAATAATATTGTTGACAAGTTTTAAACTTTATAAACTAGTATTAAGTTGATTGAGAAATAAAAAATTATGATTTATTTAAATATTCACGATAATTATGTCAGTGGTCAGAAAAATAGAAAGAAATAAGCAAAATATTTAAGAATATATTTACTTTGAAATCGCCAATTGACCTTGAGCAAATGTGGTGATTAAGCTCATCTTTATCTGCTCGAGAACTTCAATTGTTAATAACTGTCCCTTTGCTGCACAAAGGACAAACTATACAGTGTGTGTGTGAAATTTTTACCTAAAGAACCTATTTAGCTAACAAAGGATGTTCATTGACTAATGACTTAAAAAAACTCTAATGTACTTCTTATAAATAACAGGACATAAATAATAGGATTATTTTCTTTTATTAAACAATAAATACATTTTACTAGTGTACAAGTTAATGTGTGGAACAAGTAAACAAGTTAATATAGGTCATATAAATATCGAGGTGTCGTCAAATATTTTATCATTTCTCGTTGAATTACTCTGCGATTATATTGTGGATACGCAATGAACACTCATTCGGAGATATCGCCGAGCCGTCACGAGTTTGTGAGTATATTTGTATTAAATATATTATGTATGTAAGTGTCACATGACTCTTCTGTTTAACTCGGGTTAAAGAAGGAATGAAGGTAGAGAAGAATTTGGTTCCCACACCCGGATCCATGTATGAGATATTAGAACATCGGGATGGTTTTATGACGGTAAGAGTCTGGCAGTCCCCGTCGTACTTCTAAGCGCGAGCAGACTATTTGAGCTACTGAGCATTTTAAAGTGGGATTTAGAAAGAGACACTTTGATGTTATACAAACCTGGTACTTACCACATTGCTGAATACTGGCGCAGTAGCTTGGTAAACGGTGGATATGTAATGATATTCTTTGTTATCTGAAAATTGCTCAATTATTTTATTTAATACACACTTTTGTAATTGTTTACAGGTACTGAACTGGTTGGAGAAGCACCAAAAATTCTTCAAGACTAAATCAAGTACGGAAACTGACATCACTGAACCAGAACCAACAGAAGCGAAGTACAAAATTAAATATAAAACAACTCCAACAGATTTCGAATACGAATACTACCAGAAACCAAACAGTTACGATAATAATTCTAAGCAATTGACCCCTCACTATCTCACTCTTCCAAGTTACAACGAATTTGCATATTATTAATGGAATCAAATAAACAGATTATGAATATCGTGTTGTTTTATTTATATTTACTGATTTTTTACCCCAGGAAAAGCACATAATGCCATTGGCCCTGCACATGACCTCTCTTTAGCAACGTCGAACTGCTGTCTTATCCGCATAGAGGGCGTTTCTATGTTTAGGCATGCCAAGTGCATGCCTAAACATAGAAACGCCCTCTACCGTACCGTAGTGCGTAGTGCACCGTAGATTATATCGATCATGCATATTTGGCTTGTTTAGGTAAAAATCAGGCTACTTAAAAAAAAACTAGCGTTATAAGACCAAGTGATTCAAATAGATCAAATGGGAGATATTATTATAATATGTAGGGATTGCCATTCTGCCTACGTTTGAAAATTTTATTTTTTATTTTGGCTGATTAAATCATATTTAAAAAAAAAACTAAAACAATTGTTTTCTTTTAATTAAGTCGTGCACATGTTTTATATTCGTTGTTTTATTTAAAGGATGCAAACATTTTTCGTCGTCATGGATGAATAAATAAATTCGATTAGTCGATTTTTGTGTTGCATTGATTTTATAACTTTTTGTTGGGTATTACTTGATAATTTGAAGTTTGAGATTTATCATCATAAACATTGGTAGCGAACGAGTGAAATTATAAGTCCACATTATTAGTTTGGGCTTCGAGTAATCTCACTCACTCGGCTATACTTCCCGATAATTACTGGTATAAGCAATCTAGCAATTTTAACCATACTTACATTAAGGTCAATTAGTAAGTAATTCATTATTGAATATATTAGTTAGTTAATAAAGACATTATTAGTATCATTATTTATAGCATGATGTAATTACCATTTAGTAATGTAAGACCATCAATGACAATGGTAACAGGTTAAATGTTAATGAGTCATCATTTTACCGACAAGAAAACTGTGCAGAATGCATGTAGGACTCCTATAGTTTGAGCTACTATGTAAATGATACTACTTAAGCTCTGAAAATCCATCACTAGCTTACAAGTGGCCACTGCTAAGCAGAGCTGTAAATATAAACTAACTCAGATAAAACTTTTTAAGACACAGGGCTCCGATCAGGATATTGATTGATCACTTAAAAAAGTATATGTGAATAAAGACTTCATTGTAATGGTTTAAGAATTTTAACCATACTTACATTAAGTTCAATTAGTAATGAATATAGCAGTCAGTTAGTAAGCACGTTATTTATTGCATGATGTAATTACCATTTGTTAATGTAACACCATCAATGACAATGGTAACAGGTAAAGAGATAATGAGTTCGTATAAATACCGAGGTATCATCAAATATTTTATCATTTCTCTTGTGACCGTCACAACAACTAGGATACGCAATGAATACCAATACTGAACAACCACCATGCCGCTGCGAATTTGTAAGTACCTATATTATTTAATAAGAAATAAAAATTAATTAATATTTAAATAATAGCAACGATTCCGTGATCTGTCTGAGGATAATTTAAAAAACACTATCATTGAAATGTAAAAATTCTAACAAATATATTATTTGCAGGTTTACGACTGGGTGGAAAAGCATCAAATATATTTTGATAACCCAGAGCTTACCTACAACCTCAATCTTAAGTGTTCAAAACCAGTTATGTCTTCGGGAGAAGATCAGGCAGCCGTCACGCACTGTGGAGCTACAAAACAGAGGAAAAAGAAAGCTGTCAACTACAGAACAACACCGCTGTTTTATGAGCCTAAGCTGTTTAAACTAGATCCAGCCTTTTTTGTAGAGGAATCGGAATATTCTGATGAGGAGTCAGAATATTTTGGAGAAGAGTTAGAGTATTCGGAAGAAGATTCAGATACGTCTGAAAAAGAATCAAAGCTTTTTGAAGTGCAGACACAATCTAATGTAGAAAAGCGAGGATCTTCTGAAGAAAAGCGAGGTTCTTCTGAAGAAAACCAAACGTTTGAGGAAGCGTCTCCATACTTTGTGGAAGAGACCATCTCTTCACAAGAAACATTTGTACAACAGCCCGAATATTCAGAAGCAGGGTCATCCTATTTAACGTATCAAGCACCATATATGAGTCAACAGTATTACCCGGAACAACCACACTTCGAACTTCAGACCGCCTATATGAAACCAGTACCATCATATTATGGAACACAGACACAATATTACAAGCCAATGCCTCCTTACTACGCGCCAATGCCCTTATATTACGGCCCAGCGGCCTTCCAGTGTGGTATAGTGCCAGGATACAATAGGCATTATTAACAAGTTACGGTAAATCTATTAGGACAAATATGTATTACTCCGGAAAAAGTGACGCTGAATTTTCCGGTAATTATAATAGCGTTGTGAAATTTATTTCGCCAGTGATTATATTTATTATGTTATTTTAATAAAATAAATTGTGGTTAATCAAGTCCACACACTGTTTTTATAATTGGGTTCCTCCTTTCCCGTTTTGTAATATTAAAGAAACCTTCTCAACATAACATAGGGTCATTGGAAATTCCTCTTATACTTAATTTAGAATATCTCACGATAGTTATAATAACCCTTAGGTACGCCCAAAAAGGCCGGCAACGCACTCACCTCTTTTGGTTTTGCATCAGCTAATCCTATATGACTAGTAGACATAGTAGTTCGTTAGGAGTGGACAGGTAGGAAATAAAAACTCATGATGTAAACTTTTCTTTACGTTTCTTTCTTTGATAATATAGCAATAGCCCTTTGTTGTTTTTCGAATCCAATCATTTTTGATTGAATTACACATATATCCATTATGATGTTAAAATATACTAAAATAAGTTTATTCGGTGCTGTAATTTAATCTATACTAATATTATAAAGAGGTAAAATTTGTAAGTTTGTATGTAGGGGGTAAACTGTGGAACCACGGGTCGGATTTCCAAAATTCTTTCACTGATGAACAGCTACAATGTTCCTGATTGCTATAAAATATCACGCTATGATCAAATGGAACCGAGCAGCGGGTGAAACCGCGCGAGAGTAGCTAGTCTTTTAACATTTTAGTCAGACTAAGAACATTGTCCTTTTGATCTACTACATTTTGATTTCTTTGTATTTAATATAATAGTTCTAATGGATATTAATAAATTTACTGAATATTTTCATATACTTACTGTGGACCTGGAATTAAGCTTGCTTGTCTCAACTTAAACACTAGTATAAGTAGATTGAGAAGGCTATTGAAAGTCACGCTTTAGGTTAGATCAGCTGATGCCGTCAATATGATTGCCGTCAACCCTTTTTTGAGGGGGAAATATCTTCATATGATTTGGCCCTGGTGGGGCGAGAAGGAGTTTCAGACTCTTACTGACTAAAAACCACCCAGTTGCTTCACCTGCTCCGGGTCGGGACAGCTTGCAGCGACCCGTCACGGTTAGTCAGCTGCACGACATCGTCGCGACGTGAATGTTGCTTGTTTTTATGCATCTCTCGTATCGAAACTAATAGACAGAAAGTGTCAAACTTCGTGAAAGTTAGACAGATAATTAACAAAACCACTGTGAAATACACTTCATTTAACAAACTTACATATTAAAAATGCTAGTAGTGCCAAGAAGACAAAATATTTATCTATTTCTTATACACATATTTTAAGTTGCTTAAATTCTAAATACAATATTTATACTGAGGGAACGAGAATAACTTTTTAGAATAAGAATAACTTTAGTCCACAAAAAAACGTATATTTAAAGTACATTTAATTTATTTACCAGTAGCTGTAACTACGCTATTACTATGTATATTATACCAACATGAAATTTCAACGATATGATAAAATTTAAACGAAAATGAAAATATAAATATAATATTGCAAAACTTTTATAATAAGATTGAAGTATCACAAAATATTCACTTCGTATTTGAGTTGTTGAGATGCAGAATATTCGTTACAATTCTATTATTCTACAATTCTTAAACAATACAAGTAACTACACATTTTTGTACTAATAAACCCTTTCTTGTTTTATCTAAGCTGTCAAACTGTTTTGAGCTTAAATGAAATCAGAAATGGTTTATTATTACAAAAAAAAAAATTGATGTTTTGAGACAGCGGGAAATGTTTTAGTACATCTACATGTAAAATTATAAACAACACATACATCTTTGGAAACAAATTAAGTAGTCCTAGATTAAAAGGACATAACATATATAACATAATATTCTTAACAGTTCGAAATGTACAACATATTATATGTATATTATTATAACTCGCATCATACAAAAAATCATCAGTACACACATCTGTAACTACGTAATTGCCAAACATTGAAGCCGCTGCCTCGAATCTAGCGGGCAGCGGGGCGGCAGCGGAGGCGGCGCGGAAGCGGAGCGGGCAGACCCGTTCTCGAAACTAGTGGGCGGATCGCGCGTCATTGTAACCGCTTAGTGTTGTGTTCATTATTGTGTCGTCGACTGTTTGCTTTTATAAGCGAACGAAATGTCTGACAATGGCGGCAACATCTTTTTGATTAAATTGAAAGTATCAGAGTCTTTTCAAATACAGACAGAATATAATGAAGAAAAGCGAGGATCTTCTGAAGAAAAGGCAGTATCTTCTGAAGAAAAGTTAACCTCTTCTCAAGAAATGTTAGGTTATTCTACAAAAGAGTCAAAGTCCTCCAAGGAAGAGATCGAATCTTTTGAACAAGAACCTCAATCTTTGAATGAAGAAAACCAAACCTTTGAGGAAGTGACCCCATATTTTGGAGAAGAGATCATCTCTTCAGCAGCAACATTTGTACAACAGCCCGAATATTCAGAAGCAGTGTCATCCTATTTAACACATCAAGCCCCATATATGAGTCAACAGTTTCACCCGCAACAACCACACTTCGGACTTCAGACCTCCTATACTGAACCAGTACCATCACATTATGAAACACAGACTCAATATTACAAGCCAATGCCTCCTTACTACGCACCAATGCCCTTATATTACGGGCCAGCGGCCTTCCAGTGTGGTATAGTGCCAGGATACAATAGGATTATTAACAAGTTACGGAAACATTATAAGAACAAATAAAACGCCTAAAAAAGTGACGCGCGTTTTACGGTAATTATCATAGTGTTATGAAATTTATTTCGCCAGTGATTATATGTATTATGGTATTTTACTAAAATAAATTGTTGTTAATCAAGTTCACACACTGTTTTTATGATTGGGTTCCTCCTTTCTCCGTTTTGAAATATATTAAAGAAATTTTCTCAACATAACATAGGGTAGCAATAGCCCTTTGTTGTTTTTCGAATCCAATCATTTATGATTGCATTACACATATATCTATTATGATGTTAAAATATACTAAAATATGTTTATTCGGTGCAGTGATTTAATCTATACATATAATAATTCTGTCGCGAGGTGTCATTTTCGATCACTCCAAGTTGCGTAAAAAGCTCAAGTGTCTCAGGGTGGGAGAACCATGTTTGTGCACGAATTAAATTTGTCGTTCATAACCGCTAAAAGTTAACACGATGACAATAATATTACCTATATGTATACAATACCAACATGAAATTTCATTTCATTTCATTTCATTACTTCATATTCGAGTTATTGAGTTCTACAATTTTTAAACAATACAAGTAACTACACATTTTTGTAATAATAAGCCCTTCCTTGTTTTATCTAAGCAGTCAAAATGTTTTAAGACAGACAACGGGAAATGTTTAAGTACATTTCAAGTAAAATTATAAATAGCACATTTTTGTCAACAAGATTAAAACATAATCCTAGTCGCTATAAATATATCAATTAAAAAAACCCCGAAACTTAAAACTTAAGTTACCTTTAAAAAGTGTAAAATTGTGGGCCAAGTCATACCGCAGCCTCAGTTATGGCGTGGAGCAGCAACACTTACGTTGTACTTCGTCCTGTGAGTGAAGTCACCGGAGGCCTAATCCTCTCCCCTCTCAACCATTATTCTTAAATTCCATATCCTTAAATCCCTAATGACCCACAAAAGGCCAGCAATGCACTCGTTGCGCAGATTATTACTTTTTAATGGATTATTAGATTTTGTGTCGGCGGTTTTCTAAATTTTAAATTTATAATAGTTATTATTAAATAGTGCACAGGTTTTATATTCAGTGTTTTATTTTCAAATGGTACTATCATTTTTCGTCGTCATTGATGAATAAATAAGTTCGAGTGAATAAATAAATTATGAAGAAACGTTCTGGTGACATGGCATTGATTTTATATAAGTTTTTGTTGGGTACCTATGACTGATTATTTGAAGTTTGAGATTTATCATCATCAATTCCAGGTTCCCTCACAATATTGATTTGGGCATCGAGTAATCTCACTCACTTGGCTATACTTCCCGGTACTGGTTTAAGCAATCTAGCAATTTTGGCCATACTTACATTAAGGTCAATTAGAACTTCATTAATGAATATATCAGTTAGTTAATAAGCACATTATAAGTATAATTATTTATTGCATGATGTAATTACCATTTATTAATGTAAGACCATCAATGATAATGATAACAGGTTAAATGTTAATAAGTCATCATTTTACCGACAAGAAAACTGTACAGAATGCATTTAGGACTTCTATAGTTTGAGCTTCTAAATGATACTACTTATGCTTTGAAATACATCACTAGCTTACAAATGGTCACATGTAAAGTCTAATGCTAAGCAGAGCTGTAAATATCAACTCACTCAGATAAAACTTTTTAAGACACAGGGCTTCGATCAGTATGTTGATTGATCACTTAAAAAGGTATATGCGCATTGTCGGCCTTTTGGGGAATAAAGCTTCCTATATTTAAGGATTAGGGAGGGAATGAATGAATATGCATACTTTATTGTACACCATAATAATAAAATTAAACATAGGAAACAAAAACACAAAAGATAGTACAATTAGCGGTCTTACCGCTTAAAAACAATGGGGGGACGAGGAAGAGAAAGGTTTTGGATTCGTTAAATCTCATTCACACGGCGAAACACCTATAACACAATACATGGGTGTATTGGGCTCATAAAGGCAAATAAAGACTTCATGGTAATGGGGTTCAAGTAATCCAGGAATTTTAACCATACTTACATTAAATTCAATTAGTAATGAATATAGCAGTCAGTTAGTAAGCACATTATTTATTGCATGATGTAATTACCATTTGTTAATGTAACACCATAAATGACAATGGTAAGAAGTAAAAAGTTAATGAAATCGTATAAATACCGAGGTATCGTCAAATATTTTATCATTTCTCTTGTGACCGTCACAACAACTAGGATACGCAATGAATACCAATACTGAACAACCACCATGCCGCTGCGAATTTGTAAGTACCTATATTATTTAATAAGATAAAATAATTAATTCATATTTAAATAATAGCAAGGATTCCGTGATGTGTCTAAGGATAATGTAAAAAACACTATCCATGAAACGTAAAAATTCTAACAAATGTGTATATTATTTGCAGGTTTACGACTGGGTGGAGAAGCATCAAATATATTTTGATAACCCAGAACTTACCTATAACCTCAATCTTAACTGTTCAAAACCAGTTATGTATTCGGGAGAAGATCAGGCAGCCGTCAAAGTGTGGAGCTACAAAACAGAGCAAAAAGAAAGCTGTGAACTATAGAACAACACCGCTGTTTTATGAACCTAAGCTGTTTAAACTAGATCCAGCCTTTTTTGTAGAAGAATCGGAATATTCTGATGAAGAGTCAGAATATTTTGGTGAAGAGTTAGAGTATTCGGAAGAAATTTCAGATACGTCTGAAAAAGAATCAGAGCCTTTTGAAGTACGGAAACAATCTAATGTAGAAAAGCGAGGATCTTCTGAAGAAAACCAACCGTTTGAGGAAGCGTCTCCATACTTTGTAGAAGAGACCATGTCTTCACAAGAAACATTTATACAACAGCCCCAATATTCAGAAGCAGGGTCATCCTATTTAACACATCAAGCCCCATATATGAGTCAACAGTATCACCCGCAACAACCACACTTCGCACTTCAGACCTCCTATACTAAACCAGTACCATCATATTATGGAACACAGACTCAATATTACAAGCCAATGCCTCCTTACTACGCGCCAATGCCCTTATATTACGGGCCAGCGGCCTTCCAATGTGGTATAGTGCCCGGATACAATAGGCATTATTAACAAGTTACGGTAACATTATAAGAAAAACAACAAATAATTCCTGAAAAACGGACGTTTAATTTTCCGGTAATTATCATAGCCCTATGAAATTTATTTCGCCAGTGATTATATTATTATGTTATTTTAATAAAATAAATTGTTGTTAATCAAGTTCACACACTGTTTTTATAATTGGGTTCCTCCTTTCTCCGTTTTGTAATATATTAAAGAAACCTTCTCAATCATAACATAGGGTCATTGGAAATTCCTCTTATATATAGGCCTCATAATATACGAGTAGTTCGTTAGGAGTGGACAGATTAGGAAATAAAACTCATGATGTAAAGTTTTCTTTACGTTACTTTCTTGGACAATATAGCAATAGCCCTTTGTTGTTTTTCGAATCCAATCATTTTTGATTGCATTACACATATATCTATTATGATGTTAAAATATACTAAAATAAGTTTATTCGGTGCAGAGATTTAATGTATACTTATAATAATTCTGTCGCGAGGTGTCATTTTCGATCACTCCAAGTTGCGTAAAAAGCTCAAGTGTGTGGGAGAAACATGTTTGTGCACGAATGGGCCAAGTCATACCGCAGCCTCAGTTATGTCGTGCAGCAGCAACACTTACGTTGTACTTCGTCCTGTGAGTGAAGTCACCGGAGGCCTAATCCTTCCCCTCAATCCTTCCTCTCCACCTCAATTCTTAAATTCCATATCTTCAAATCCCTAATGACCCACAAAAGGCCAGCAATGCACGTTGCGCTGATTGCTTACCATCAGGTACGCCGTCTCCTCGTATGCTGACTTATGGTATGAAAAAACCTTTGTAACATTTACTTGTTCTAGTAGTGTGTAGCTCTCTTCTACCCCTGTATTATTCGTTCACGTGTTAAATTCTACCTTAAATCTATACCACATAATGAAGACTTCTATTCTTATTCTCCCTTCACACACTGACTCTATAAAAATCGCTCCCGCTTAGCATTACGGGCGTTAAATTCGTATCTATCTTCAAGAGATAACTGAGAGAACATTATCTTCCCTCCTTGAGTGCAAATCTGTTTATTTATATATAATATAAAATATAAAAAAATATACATTTTTATTTATTCCTTATATATTTGTAATAATGCGTATTTTTTTTTACTTGCAATAATTAGTGCTTGACTGCGATCCCACCTGATGGTAAGCAGTGATGCAATCGTATATATTATATAAACATGATGGTTAATTTCCAATTCAGTAAATTATTTATTATTATAAGGTTTATAAGCTTTCATTCACGAGATAGAGGGAGACAGAGAGAGATAGATCCTAAATACTTTTTCAGTCACAGGTAGCACCTATTTATTGAAATATAAATTTCTTATCAAAATTGTGTGCTGCATATTATTTTACTTTCTTGGAAACCCTTTATGCCTTATTTAAGCCATTCCAAACAATACCAATAAGAGCATATCCAACACAGGAAGATTTTCTTCAAAAAAAAAAAAGTTAATAAAAAACGATATTTAAAAAAAATATCTTCAGACAACAGAATATTTCTAATCACAATTAAATTATACAATAGCAACATAAAAATTTCAAGGAAAAGATTAAAGTTTAAACGAAAATGAAAATCGTGAATAATATTGCAAAACTTTTATATTAAGATATAAGTATCACAAAACATTCACTTCGTATTTGAGTTGTTGAGATGCAGAATATTCGTTACAATTCTATTCTTAAACAATACAAATAACTGTACATTTTCACACACAATCTACATATATATATTTTTTGATTAAAATTCAATACTTTTTTACATTTGTGATCTAATTCTTGACCAAAGTGTAGGTGTTTAATTTAGTACGGTTCTTACCTACGTGGTCGTATCGGACCTACGAGCGGCAAC